TGTACTTTTCCCCACTTGTACACTTGCCTGCCTAACTTGCTTAAGATTCTTCGCCCCTTTGTGATATCTTCTATACAAAGCTGTGGTGAATCACCGCACTCTCAGTTATTGTCCATCTGGGTAGGACCATGGGTCCTTTTGTTGCGTCTGCAGGGATGATGGGTTTTCTCCTCCCTGACGGTGAGTTTATACCCTCAGTGCGGCGGGGGAGGCGGCCCTTCATCACCTTCCATCGTGGGACAGATACTATTCAGGGTTCTATGGGGCTCTCAAGACTTACTGACTGAACGCGTTTGCAGTGGTAGGACACACACTCACACACGTGCACTTGCACACGCACACGTACACATACACGCGCACAAGCACACGCACACACACACACACACACACACACACACACGCGCACACGCACACACACACACACACACACATGCACGCACGCACACACACACTCTTTCTCTTCTCTGAAGACGTAATCCGGTTGTTACTCGTCTCAGGCGGTGGAGTGATGACGAGCGATGAAGATGCAGCAGGTGTAATGAGCGATTTCTCATGAGGTTACAATGTGTCCTTTTCGCCGTGTGGTCCTCAGGTGATGTCCTACGTGGCCACGCTTCTCTACTTCCTGCACGCCATCTTCTCAGCCATCCGATGGAAGAGTTCATAAAAGAGATGAAACACAGAGGAGGAGAAGATGGAGAAGGAGGAGAAGAAGGAGGAGAAGGAGAAGAAGGAGAAGATGGAGAAGGAGGAGAAGAAGGAGGAGAAAGAGGAGAAGAAGGAGAAGGAGGAGAAGGAGAAGAAGAAGGAGAAGGAGAAGGAGAAGATGGAGAAGGAGGGGAAGAAGGAGGAGAAGGAGGAGAAGGAGGAGGAGAAGAAGCCAGCTGACCTGAATCTTCACTGAATCTTTTTTATTATTGATCAATGTTGAATTAACGAAGCTTAAACATGTAATGCATTGATTTGGTGACGGGAGTCATAATTATTTATGAATCGATGAGGAACGAACAGTTCGTGGTACCAGTGAGTGTAAAAGATTCTGTTTTATGATTAATTGTTCACTTCACCCTAAATAAACAAAAACACATCTTTTCTAAACTGATAAACTATATTTTACTTTAGTGTCAAATGAGTCAGTTTTGTTCACAAGGACACATTTAAATTTCTTCTGCTCCTCCTTCTATTAAGACGAGATTTGTGGAGTTGAAGTGACTTCACCTTAAAACAGGCGTCACGGGTCATCAGATTCATTCAGATTCATCTCACGCGTGTTCAGAGACACATTTTATTACATTGACATATTTTGCAGTTCAAGGTGGAAGAAACGACGTTAACATTGTGTCACTGTTGGTCTGACTGATGCATTCTGGGAGATGGACATTCCTCCTCTTCAGGGGGAGGCTACCAGATGGTGCGCTTCACCCCCCCCCAGATGGAGCGTTTGACCCCCTGCGCCGCCCGCACGTCGTCCCAGTTGAGCCGGGTGTCGGGCACCTCGTCCGGGGCCTCCGGCTGGGCTCGGGCCCCCCCCCTCGGGGCTGGCCACCACCCGGGGCAGCGGCCCCCGCTGCGCCTGGTACTCCACCACGTGGAGCCGCTTCTTGTCGGCCAGCGTCTGGTGGACCTCCTGCCGGCGGAGAGAGAAGAGGAGGCCCGGGCATTAGGGGAGCTATACGGGGTCGTTTCGCTTCTATGCCCCGCTCAATGAGTCACCTGACAAGGCCAGTCCGATGAAGAGCGACCTGGTGATGTTCAGCAGGTGGACGGAGCCCTGACCCTTGCAGTACATCTCCTCTGATGCCCGATCAGCTAGCACATGGTGATGACGGCGCGGTGGCAGTGCAGACCGTAACCTGCAGAGCGCAGTGACAGGAGTCATTTATTACATACATGTAACCTGCAGAGCGCAGTGACACGAGTCATTTATTCCATACATGTAACCTCCAGAGCGCAGTGGCACGAGTCATTTATTACATACAAGTAACCTCCAGAGCGCAGTGACACGAGTCATTTATTACATACATGTAACCTGCAGAGCGCAGTGACAGGAGTCATTTATTACATACATGTAACCTGCAGAGCGCAGTGACACGAGTCATTTATTACATACATGTAACCTGCAGAGCGCAGTGACACGAGGAGTCATTTATTACATACATGTAACCTGCAGAGCGCAGTGACACGAGTCATTTATTACATACATGTAACCTGCAGAGCGCAGTGACACGAGTCATTTATTACATACATGTAACCTGCAGAGCGCAGTGACACGAGTCATTTATTACATACATGTAACCTGCAGAGCGCAGTGACACGAGTCATTTATTACATACATGTAACCTGCAGAGCGCAGTGACACGAGTCATTTATTACATACATGTAACCTGCAGAGCGCAGTGACACGAGTCATTTATTACATACATGTAACCTGCAGAGCGCCGTGAGAGGAAGGTGAAGAGCAACGAGGAGCAGATCTTCTATCAGACTCACAGCTCACGTCGGGACCAGATGTTCATTGATTTATTTACAGTCTATAATCCGCTGATCAGCGTAAACGATCTTTACCTTCGTTCTGTTTCTTCATGCGGAGCGTCGTCCTCTTGAACTTTGACTGGATGTCGTGGTAAACTGGAGGGAAGCGACAGGTGAGTTATGATGGGAGCAGGTGAAGCGGCTGCTGTGAACCATGTGAGGACCTACTGGTCTGCTCGTTGTAGCGCTCGATGTAGTACAGGTAGTGGATCGCACGGTTCTTCGCCTGCAGGGAACACAGAATAGAATGAATCATTATACATACAAACTATTGAATACGCATCAGGGACGCCGGTCTGATTATATTGATGATGATGACGGTCTCACCTTCCTCAGAGCCGTCATCCGGTCGGCTGCTTTCCCCAAAGCGAAGCCTGGCGGGAGGAGACGTGCTGTTCTTAATACAATAACACTGTAGTAGTAATATGATACTCTGCTATCTTCTTCTGAGGGGAGTTCACATGGAGACGTTTAAATCAAACGAGACCAGCGGTTTAATCAAAAAATGAAGTACTTGTTAATATTAATTAAGAAGTGCTCTTTTAAACAAATGTGATTGGTGAGAAACGTTTTCTGGGACCTGCGGCTCCGTTTCCGTTGCCCACGGCGACCAGACAGCTGATGGACCTCTTCCTGCCCTCCCTGCCCGTCATGTTGAACACGCTCTTCACCTGCAGGACAAACGGGAAGCTGCGTCAGTTGTTAGGCGTCATCACGCTGTGAGCCCCCACTTTCAGTCCGGGAGACTTAACGTTCCTCTTTGATTGTGCCTATAGTTAGGGCTGGCTCAGGTTAGTCCGGACCAGCCCTTAGTTAAGCTGCTGTAGGCTTAGAATGCCGGGGGAATTCTTAGGACACACCGAGCTCCTCTCACGCTCTCGTTCTACCATAATTCACGTTTTATTAATGCAGATGACTAATTCAGCTTCTTTACGGGAGTTTTTTGTGTTTTCTCCTCTAGCAGGTCTCCATAGATCGTGGTTCCTTCTGGATCCTGGTCCTGACACCTGCCGTGGCCCTGCTGACGCCTGCTGCTGCCATCATCATCATCATCATTATTATTATTTTAGATATTAATCATATTACTGTACTGTGGATGGTGGTGCTATGTGATGGTGGTTCTATGTGATGGTGGTGCTATGTGATGGTGGTTCTATGTGATGGTGGTGCTATGTGATGGTGGTTCTATGTGATGGTTCTATGTGATGGTGGTGCTATGTGATGGTGGTGCTATGTGATGGTTCTATGTGATGGTGGTGCTATGTGATGGTGGTGCTATGTGATGGTTCTATGTGATGGTGGTTCTATGTGATGGTGGTGCTATGTGATGGTGGTTCTATCTGATGGTGGTTTTATGTGATGGTGGTGCTATGTGATGGTGGTGCTATGTGATGGTGGTTCTATGTGATGGTGGTTCTATCTGATGGTGGTTTTATGTGATGGTGGTTCTATGTGATGGTGCTGGTCCCTGCAGTGGTCCTGCCGTACACCTGCTTACTTCTCTCATTATTTGAATCATTTCTGTTATAGGAACTGAGTGTATTGTACATCGTTTACGTTGTTCATTCTGTCCACATGACGTCACTGTAGTCTGTCCATCAGGAGACGGATCGTCCTCTGACGTCCTCACTGAGGTTTCTTTTCCCCCATGAAGGGTTTTTCATTTGTTGGAGTTTCTCTGTGCCGACGTGCCGGTTTCAGAACAGAGGATGTCGTATGTGTACAGACTGTAAAGCCCTCTGAGGCTCATTTGTAATTTGCGATTTGGGGCTTTACAAAATAAAATGAACTAGAGGGCTACTGGGACCAGACCAGTGGTGTGTGTGAGACCACCATCCCTCCATGTAGGCTGAAGGACCCCCTGCAGTGCTGCTTTAAACCGTGATCGACACAGAAAAACAGACTTTTCTTCTCTTTAAAATGATCATTTGTCGTGTTTCCTTTCCATCAGATGGGACAGACCAGAGGGGCCCAATAGGTCGATCGCAATCGCAGTACCAGCAGATCCATCAGTGCCAACCATTAAAAAAACGGATGCGCGGCCTATGTATTAATGCTAATGCTAATTAGCGATCCTTGCTTAGTAACAGACGCATTTCATCATAAAAGAAACCCAGGCGACTCCAGTGAGGTAAGATGAAGAATGTGTGGGATGCTTAAGACCACATGTGTCCCGCCGGGCGTCCCGCCGGGCGTCCCGCCGGGCGGCTTTGCTATTGTGAGAATTACAGAAAAAAAACTTGCATTTCTATAAAAGTAGCTGCTATTCCTAAAGGGTCCACTGGGGGTCGCTCTGTGTGCACTCAGGGGGACAACAGTCCACTTCTCCTGGTTCACTTTCCTCTGTCGCCTCCTCACTTCTTTCCTCCTCCCTTCCTCCCCCCGATGGATGTGTTCACTAATGGCATCGTCCTTGGGAGGCGAGCCTTTTATTCCAGTAAGCCTTTTTCATTTCATTAGCCCTGAATTTATAGTGGGCACACACACACACACACACACACACACACACACACACACACACACACACGGTCTGAGGGGGAAGCCTAATGTCTGAGACACTATTTATGCAGGCAGGAGGGCCGGGGAAGACTATTAATGTGACACAGAGACCGATCTGGAAGTCTGAGTGTGTGTGTGTGTGTGTGTGTTCAGTAATGAAAGTACACAACTCTATGACAACACAAACACACATTTGATGCAAATAAAATCAGGTGAAATGAAGTCAGACCTTGAGTGTTTGGACACCAGCAGCAGATCAACACTTTCTATGAATTAATTTGCTACTGACTGTGTGTGTGTGTGAGAGAGAGAGACACCGCGTTGATGTGTGTGTGTGTGTGTGTGGTTTTGACAGAATGTGTGTGTGTGTGTGTCCTTGTGGCATCACCCCTATTAGCACTAATTACATTACAGTAAAATTCAGCCAGACAAAAAGAGTGAAGTGTGTTCATATTAAGTCAATGTTTGGGGGGGTGATGATGATGATGATGGTGATGATGATGATGATGATGGTGATGATGGTGGTGATGATGGTGGTGATGATCTCACACTCTACTGGACAATCAGCCTGATACTTGTTTGTGCTTCATAAGAACCGATGATAACGAGACAATGATGGCTTTCCTCTCGTGTTCCCTCCACTGACCAGCAGGGGGCGACTGCTCTGGTCCCATAGACGTCTATTAGAAAATGACTCACCTCAATGACGCGTGAATCAAAGTCCTCGTATGTTTCTGTGGAGAGACGGTGGAGAGATGTTTCTGTGAGAGTTTAGACACACTTTTTAAAACACTACCTCTTTATACCATGCTTTGGGGCGGGGCAACGGGCTGATTGACAGCTCTCTACGTCCTCAGTCCTAAAATGGTCACTTCCTGTTCACTGGTTGATCAAATAAAAACAGGGGTTAAATTGCCGGCTTACCTCCGTTGGGTCCCGGGTCGGGGGGCCCCAAGCTGGTGCCCCCCATGGAGTTACCCGTCCACCCTCTCTCCCTCTTCACCCTCATCTTCCTCCTCCTCTCCCACTCGTCCCTCTGGCGCACTGCGGGGAGACACGAGCGGCAGGTCAGAGCTGCTAACGAGCTTCTAAAGCTTCAACATCTCAGGATGCTCGTTTAATATTCTACTTTGCAGCGGAGCTCCTCAGAGACACGAGGACGTCCGATTCAATTGTTGTGAAAAATCAACTCAATGTGATTGACACGTCTCTCTTTCTACGATCATGATGGTTCGGATCCATATAGCAGGACTTTTATTTTGAAGGGACAAAGGTTCCTTCTCACCGAGCTCCGCTTGCATCTCCAGCTGCTCGCTCTCCCCCCGGCGGCTCATGCTCTGCAGGGTCCCGTCCCTCAGAACCGGAGAGTTCAGACCGGGCCACAGAAACCCACCGCGACCTGGGGGGGTTTGGGGGAGAGGGAAGAAGAATCATGAGCAGCTTAAACTAAACATCTGACAGACAGACGGAGACAGACGGATGTCTCACCTTCTCCAATGATCTGTCCTCTGTTCAGGTCTTTCTTCATCTTGCGTTTGGTTCTCTTTCCTCGGCCTTTCCTGGCACCAGAACCCGACTCCGCCAACACGCCTTTCCACAGCTCGTCAGCCGTCACTGCACACGCACACACACATGCACACGCACACACACACACAGTGAGACATCTGTTCCTCGCACATTGCTTGGTTCATAGTCCCCGTCGTCCCAAACACTCACGCTTGTTGAAGAAGCTGCCCTGCCTGCTCTGCTGCCACGCCGTGGGGGGACACCGGGGGGCCGCGGGGCCTCTCTGCAGGGGGGCTCGGCTCGCCAGCTGGGACGCCTGGACGGCTCCTCGACCGCAGAGCAGGGGCGCTGCACCTGAGGGGCGGGACAGAGGTGCATTGTGGGAAAGGCCTCACGAAGCCTGAACCTGGAGAGATTAAATCACTCAGATGAACGTAGGAGCTGCAGCATCACCTCCTGCAACCCAGCGAGGGACAGTGGGTGTCGGTATTTAGCTGGTTCACAGTGAACCGGATTAAAGAACATGGACTCAGACATCACGTGACTCTTGTTTCCTACATTTACTAATAAGCACCGAGGCGTTAAATTGACACTATTTAGAATGAGGTTTGGTGGCTATTTTCTATTCAGGTCTGCAGTACGAACACCTGTACTTACATCACTTATATCACTTATATCACTTATATTACTTATATTACTTATATTACTTATATCACATCAACGACAGAACCACCTAAACGAAGGATTTCTGAGCACGTCGCGCAGCGGCGACCGGCTGGTCCGCGGTCAGTCAGCGGAAATGACGTCATTAATCAAACGTCCCACGTGTCAACTGACGCACGTTATAAATAATACTCCGACCATCACAGAGAGACGTTCATTAAAGCTGCGGAGGAGGAATCAACAAAGAGAATTCACCTCCGATGGAGACGCGGAGGGCACAGCACAGCCGGATGGACGCCGCCATGTTGGATTTACGAAGGGTCCTTCGGCGGACAACAAGGCGTCTAAACTCCGCCTGTTGAAAAGAGGGAAAATACACACCGGGTTTGGGGTTATTTGATAATCCGATTCAGCCACATTCCGAACAGTGTCACCTCGGCTTTAGCTGGACGGACCAGTGGAGGCTGATCTACACTATTGTCTCACGTTTTAGGGCCCCGGTACGTTTGAGTAATTGTGACTTAAAGGTTCCACAACAGAAACAAACATGCTTTGTCTCGTTCTAAAATCAAATCATAAATTAACTTTGATCACATATTAAAAATGTCAAGCATGTTCCTAAAAACATGAGTTATTTGAGTAGTTAATTGCAACATGAAACAACTGTTTGATGAAAAATATACATAAATATAAACGAGACGGGAGTTAAAGCAGATAAATTATATAAAAATAAATATAACAATGTAGTTCACTTTGTAAAAAAAAAAAAGAAAACAGTCTTAAAATCATCTGAATTAAAATATAATATAAAAACACACAGTAAATATGCTTGTTCTCTGTTCGTCTGTCTTCCTTCTCTCATACTACACACACACACACACACACACACGCACACACACACACACACACACACACACACCACACACACACACACACACACACACACACACACACACACACTTTGTCCTCTTCACAGTTTTTTGCTTTGCTCACTTTGCTGCTAATTTCAGAACCTTGATGCCATTTTTCCAAACTCTTGATATAAAACTCACAACCAATGATCAAACTGCATATTTTTAAATACACAAAAACCAAAGATAATTTGTTAATTGAACTAAAATCACTTGTTCAATGTGACATCAAAGTACTTTTTCAAAATGCAATTCCTGCGTTACGGTTGAAATGATCGTCCATTCATTTCATTACATTGATCAAACTGCAGTATTTGCTGCATAAGCCTCAGATGGTTTTATGGATACTGACCAACAATATCGTTTAGACCGTGAGGTTTCATTAGTGTGGAACATGAAGCGATGTGGATGTGATATTTGATCATCATTCTCTATCAGACACTGTTTCTACCGTCCATGTACCACTCTTCACCCCATGCTGCCGTTCTGTACGTCCATCCAGGACCTTGATTCAAGTAAACTTATACTGTGATTTTATTGTATTTCAGTCACATTGTGTTCAATGATCCCACTGTGTGTACTCTTCTTTCTACTACAGTAGTACTTTTAGAGGGATGTATTTACATTCAGTACAGTAATGAAACCTGTATCGTCTATTTTTTACAGCAACATTGATTGATTGATGTACAAACAGCCACATAGTGAAACTATGGTATCTTTTATGTAGGTGATCTAAATGAATGTTCCTGTGGTATTTCATGATAAATCCGTTGTTTGAACCGATGAACCTGCAGGTGAAAGGTTCCTTTAAACATCTGATCGCACAATGTGTTGAACGTTGGAGAGCCGCTGTTACAAGTTACAAGACATGACATCAAAAATAACATCGAGGTTCTGAAAATAGCATCAAAGTGATTATGAGAAACATTGGCTCAGTTAAACCCTCTTCAAGCTGTCTTTGTGAGGAGGTCCCTCCGTAGGCCGTGAAGGCTCAGAGCTTCGTACGGAGACTGTGATGGGAGAGGATCATCTAGCGGGAGAAGCCAGCAGGCTTTTGTCTGCTGAGGTGCACGTTGCGTTGATGAGCCTGTGCTCTTACGTCCATCCTGCAGGTTGTCCTGCTGCTGTGAGACGCTCCGCTTCCTTCTCTCCTCGGTGCAGAAGAGACGCTGTCCAAAGGGGGGGGGGGGCTCCTCTCCCCCTGACGTGGATCGATACCCGGCTCCCCGCTGTCACCTCCCCCTCCCCCTCCCCTCCTCCCCCCTCGCCCGGGTGACAACACTCCTGGCTTTAACTGTATGGAGCAATAATTGTCAACCCCCCCGACACACCATCAGGTGGTCCTGGTGGTCCTGATCACTTGGAGAACCTCCCTCACAGAGGTCATCTTGGACTTTGGAGCGTTTTATCTCTCTTTGGTACCGACTGCTGGTGAAAGCGTCTCCATCTCCGTCCCTTGTTTCCATAAAGAGACAATCAGCAGGAGGAAGCTGTGTGACTTCAGGAGCAGATATTCACCCAGAACCAATGTCCCAAGTCAACGTCCCACCTTCTCCTTCCACATGTTCACCAGACACTTACTTCCCTTCATGACGAGCTCCACGTGCTGTTTGGTCCACTGCCAACAAAAAGACATCATTTAATCTAAAAGACGGGTCGGACTTTTAAATAAGAGAAGAAAAGACTTCTCTTTGGAGATGGAGCCAAAGAGAAGAGAACAACTCTCCAACAGTACGACTCCAAAAACACAAGTCTGCTCCCAGGAGGAGAAAGATGCCAGAAGAACAGGACACTCAGACGCTGGGGGAGTGAGGGGGACAAAAAAACAAGCCAGAGAAACCAGAGGAGCAATAATTTACATATATATGTATAGGACCCGCTGTGAGGTCCTGGGGGTCATCGGGGGTCTTCTCCTGAGGACTTCGGGTTGATGCGAGGTCGGGGGTTATGAGAAGACGAAAGGAGAAACCTCTTTGTCGTGTCATGTGGCTTGATGCTACGAGACGACATTTTCCGGACTAAACTTCCCTGAGTGGAACTAAACGTGGAGGCTGACGTGTTCGTCCGTCTCACTCTGCCTGGAGGTCACTGAGGGGGCGGAGCCACAGAGACTCCTCCTTCATTCCTCCCTGAGACACAAACTCCATCTTCTCATCCGCCAGAGTCACTCCCCGTCTCGCTCGGCTCGGCCTCCTCCAGGAGACGCCTGGCTGGTGTACGCGTGTGGATGTCTGTACCTACAGCAGCACATACATGTGCACATGCATGTGTTCTCCCCAGGAGGAGCGAGTCCTGCAGAGCCGACCAGAGTTGCTCTGCTAACTGCTGCAACTTTAATTCCCTCTGACACGGAGAGCCGCGCCGCGAGCCGCCGCCAGTACGTTACCATTAAGATCATTGGGCCCGTCGGCCCGGAGACCCGTCCGGGGGCGTCGCTCTGCCCCACTCAAGGTCGGCGGCGGAGGGGGAAGGTCGGCGGCCACAGGCCGGCGACGTGGGGGCGTTGTTGGTGAAAAAGCTGAACTCGTATATTATTTAAGAATGCCGAACGTTATCTAGTTAGTTATTGCATGAATTCAGATTAGTTTAGTTCAATACTAACGTATCCACAATGAGACTTAACCAACTCATTTGCATGATGATGAATCATCAGCCTCCTACTGAACACCGTCTGTCTCCTTTCCAAAGGGACCTTCTGCTCTGCATAAACCAGCACAACTCCGCCCTCACGCCCATTGAACCCTCGGCTTTGTCGCCAAGGAAACACGGCGAGCCGCTGAATTCACCGCTGAGAGCCGCTGTGAGGCTGTGAGGAACACAACGAGGGACCTCTGAGGAGCCCGCTTTGTACTGGTCATAAACACACACACACACACACGCACATCTGCACACTCACACTCACACATAACAGTTTCATTGGTGGAGAGGGAAAACGGTTTTGGATGTTCTTGACTCCACTGAGGGCAAATGATGTCATGATGCTGAAACAGAGCCCAGCAGCTCATTCACTTAACTAAGTAAATATCCACTTACACACACAGACACACACAGACACACACAGACACGCACGAGCCGACTCACACAGAGATATGAAACCATCACCATTACTCATTGACGTCTTCAGCTATTTGGACTGACAGGACAGCAAACAGCATCCTGCAGGGACGGAGCCTGTTGAGCCATCTGCTGCAGCTCTGTGGAGGCCATAAAACATCTCCAGCTACCACTAAGGTGATGAACCGCCCCCACACACACACACACACACACACACACAGCCTGTCCTGTTTCTTCTTTTCAGATAGAAGTAATTTGACCTTTGAGCCATTTTCAGCTCTGCTACAGTTCAGTGCAGCATGATGACGGCAAGATGTCACACACACATCACAATGACGACTAAAGTGGGATTCAGTGGAGCACGCACAAACCCACACAAACACACAAACACACACTTATTAGCCTGTGATGGTCACGGGGGGAGTGGGGGGTGGAAACAGAGATACGGAAGATTCTCAGAAGATTCGTAAAAGAAGAAAACGCACATCCTGTCACAGTCATCAGATCATTTAAACATTGTTTAGACTGTCAACCGTGAACAGGAAGTGACCATATAAGGACTAAGGAGGACGTCGAGACGCCGTAGACAAACAAATCCTCTGGATTTGTTTGTCTGCTGATGGATCTCCCGGTTTTGACCTTGTCTGAACTTAGTAAATCCATCTGGAGCAGCGTCGTCTGAGTCGTGCTTTTGGGTTCCTTTGTGCACCGGTACTTTCTATGAATATTATATGTATGTTTAATGAATATTGTATGAATGTGAATGACACGCTTCATGAAAAGCTGCATTTGTAACACTAAACTAATGAATAAAGACGTGTCGGAGACGGGGAACTACACACTCACGTAACAACAGGCGTTCGGCCTCGTTGTGCGACCAGCGTTGTTTGGTGGATTTCTGGAGCAAGTTGTGAATAAAAAAGGCAGAAAGAAAAATGTTAAAGACAATGTTCTCCCTCATCAGCAAACATGAGAAGGGTTTACAGCTCGAGAGCGCGAGGTTTCCTCAGGAGATGAAATACGGAGGGTTCCTCTGCCCTCTGATTACTTCTCTCCCCCCACAGCCACAAAACAGCAACTCTGCAATTTCCTCCCCTGCAGCCGGCTTCACTCAGGCGTCTCTTTCAATCCCTCACTTCCATTTGGTTTCCTTTCCTCCCTCCTCCCTCCTCACTCCTCCTGATGGTTTCACAGATCCTCCTCCAGCTTCTCTCATCTTTCAAAACATCTCCCCCCTCTGGCCTTCCTCCCTCCATGACTCCTCCGTCCTAAACTCCATCACATCCGTCACTCATTGTTTTGAGGTCACTCCCTCATCGTTCCGGGCAGCGTTTGTTCAGCTCGTGATGGACGGAGGAGTAATATGAAATCCTTTCATTCACGTGTTCGTTAGCTTTACTTTCTTTGGTAAATGGTCTAATTGTATTTTTCCTCTATATTCTTCTTACGACTCAAAGCTCTTTCAATCTTCATGTCCTTATTCATCCATTCACACAGCGATGTCAGGAGCCCGTAGTCACACCTGCACCTGCTCCAAGGGTACCAGGGGGGCCGGGGGTCGGACCCCCAATGTTCCGCTCGAATGACCCGCTGCCCCACTGACCAGGGTCCAAGTGGGATCCACGTGACGTCATTGTTGCCTCTCGTGAAGTGGTGAGAGGTCTTCTGTCAGTTGGGGGACATGTGGATCGTAGTCGTGGAGACAGACGGAACCACGGTGATGTGGAGCTCCGGAGGAAGCAGAACCAGAGGTTTCTTATTCTCTGCTTTAATGAGAGAAGACTTCTGATTCTATGATGCATCTCCAGCGTCCACGTGTGATGATTATTAAGTCAGCAAATATCATAATGAGCGTCGCCCCACAAGAAGCCGAAGAGTCAAAGCAGGGAAATACTTTTTAATATTCTCCATCCATCCATCCATCCATCATCAAACCACTTATCCTGCACACTCTGCACAGTCTCTGGACTGTGGGAGGAAGCCGGAGAACCCGGAGAGAACCCACGCAGACACGGGGAGAACATGCAGACTCCCCACAGAAAGGCCTCTGCAGAATATTCTGCAGGTTTGAAAAAGATAAATTCTCTTTTTACAATAGAAAAAAAACACTTTGCACAAGCAAACACAAGGAGGGAAACAAAGCCACAACTCCCAAGGTCACCCTGCTAACACACACGCACAGACACACACTAACTGTCCAATGACGGGTCCTGTGGGACAACATCTTAAACCTGCCGTCTCCCTCTCGCCTCCCGGGAGGCGGAAGTCCGGCTCAGCTAAGCGGGCTGCCACTGAGCAGCGTCCCCTGTCGCTGAAGCTCAGCCTGATGAATGAGAGGGGAGAAGGGGGGTGGGGTGGTTGTCGGGCGGCTTTTAAAAAGACAAAGTCAAAGTCAAAATATGTATGTTGGAATGTTCCCCCAATACAAATACTACAGATGAGATGACTTGTAATGTGAGGAAGCCTCGCAGACCTTTCTCTCTAGATTATTAAAGTCCTGATGTTGGAAGGAGTCATATTTGCTGATGCTTTTGTCATTGGTCTGTTATTGCATAAGAGGACTCTGGTGTCTGGGGCTCCAGAGGCTGAAGGGGGGAGGAAAGTTCACCCTCTCAGGACCACCGGGTCCACGCACCGGGTCTCCGGCGTGATGCATTAATCATCAGCGTCATGGCCGGAGGCAGGAATCAATACGCCGATGGTTAAAAAGAGGATAAATGATTTTTTATTTCTCCACGTGGTGCTGATGGAAGCAGGAAGCGTCCGGAGAGAACACGCCATGAATCCCGTTAACATGTTTAAGCCCCGGCTCTCCCAGAGGAAGATGACTCAGCAACTTTAAACGCACTGTGACCACAGATGGATTCACGTTTCCACCAAATCAATCCAGAATTAATTATCTCAGCCATTATTGGATGGATTGACATGCAACACCAGCAAGAGACGTCGTTTCTCAGCTCGTCCGTCCTCCAGTGGAACATTCTAAGATCTACAAGAAGGATTTACCTAAAATGTTGGTAAATGTTCATAGTTCCCACAGAATGTGTTTGAAATACTTAATGAGCATAAAGGGAAGAAGAACGACCATCTGACCACTGGGGGGGGGCATATGACGGGGGTGAGGTGATTGGAGGCGGCCAGGTGGAGCAGGAAGGTGAGCAGGATGACCACGCACACATGCAAACACACATCACATTACATCACATCACATCACACGTCATTTATCTGACGCTTTTATCCAAAGCGACGAATAAGAACATTTCAACCATCAGGAAACAAACTCAGAAGAACAAGAAACAAGAAAGTGTGATTTCCTCAAATAAGCCGATGTACAACTTGCTGTAGATAAGAACCATTATAAGTCCAATGTAAGTGCTCCAGTTAGTGTGTTAGTGGAGGTAGAGTCTGAAGAGGTGTGTCTTTAGTCTGAAGATGTGAAGGCTCTCTGTGGTCCTGATGTCTTCAGAGACCTCCTTCCACCACTTAGGAGCAGGACAGCAAAGAGTGGAGATCTAGTGGAGTGTTTTGCTCTCAGTGAGGAGGAACAAGCAGTTTATCACATGCAGAGCGGAGAGTGCGGGTCGGGGTGTCGGGTTGGACCAGGTCCTGGATGTGAGCTGGACCGTGTGAGCTGGCGTTTGTGGAACATACACAAGGACACTAACGGGACGTTGCATTGCCAGTGAGTTCTGACTGGTTTGTCCACTCTGTGACCTCCGCAGGACGCGGGTGGGACACACACGTCCGTATGCAGCTTGTTGCTGCTGTTCATGCTGTACGTGTTCAGACTGAAATACTGGAAGACTCAAAGTTATTAAGGCACCAAACCCCCCACCTCGGGCCCTTTGGCTCTGCTGGCTGGTTGAGGCTTCAGCTGTGCCAAGCTTTAAAAGCCTGCCCCCCCCC